GTCGATTGGCGGAACGGTTTCGGGTCAAGCGAAGATCGATGTGCGGTATGCGTCTATCGACGTTATCGTTGACTGTTGTCAACGATACATCTTGATTATCTTCAGTGGTGGTGCTATGAAATTGTGGAAACTCCGTGGTCGTGTCCGGGTTCCAGGTGGTCTCAAAATTCGCATCGGTCGTTGTGTGCTGTTGTAATGACTGTTGTAACATAAAAAATCTGGTCTGGACGGTGTCCACCTCTGTTTGGTTATCATTAGACGAAAAGCGATTTGCTTCATCGTGAATGTTATCGATGCTCTTTTCAGTCGTACTTATCGCAGGTTTCACTGTCGTGTAGCGCGGCTCTTCGGGAATGTTGATGAAAGAATCTTCCTGGGGAGGTTTCAGAAATTGCGCTGGATATCGTGTGACTTCAGAAAATTCATCTTTTATTTTCGACGTGTCGTTAAAGTCAAAGACTGATTTTCTCCACCACGGATGCTGGTTCGCGATTGTCTCGTTATCATTAGCTGAAAAACGTTCGTTCTGAATTGTATCAATACTTTTTTCAGTCGTACTCGTTGCAGATATCACTGGAAAATCTTCCACTGGAGGCTTTAAAAATAGATCTGGTTTGGGAATTTCAAAATTAAGTTTTAAACTGGACGCGGATGTGTCCATAAATATTTTGAAATTGATGATTGATTTGCTCGACGACGAATTATGATCCATGGTTGTTTGGTTATCATTATACACAGCATCCTGCTGTTTCACAGTTGACGCAGTATAATCTCTCAACAGATATTTATCAGATATCACAATCCTGCCGAGTGGATTATTCAATGCTTGAGTGATTCCGATACTGTCCCTCGCCTCGATATCTTCCGCGCTTTCTTTGCTATCATTTTTAATTACCGGTCTGTCATTCTGCTGCCGAAATACCTCGTCTTCGTAAATTGTATCCGTTACGTTGATCCTGAAACCACGATTGAGATGTACTTTGTCACTCTTAGAACGCTCATCGTCATCATTTTCATCAATTTTATCCGTTTTCGGTGACGAGACGCTTTCTGATTTCTTCAAATCGCCGTGTTTCGTCTCGCTCTCTCCTAATTTAATATTTCTCACGTCATCGTTGTGATGAGAAATCGTGGGAGGCGTCACTGGGGTCTTGCTCTGCGCATAGAGATGATCAGAGCTATCTACTATCAGATCCAGCTTGCTGTAAGCCAACGTGGAAGGTCGATAGGTCGTCGGGACCGTAGGCGAGTAGAATCTCCTGGTAGTGGTGGTAACAGTGGGAACAGTAGGCGCGTAGGATGTGTGTAACGAATTGGTGAACCCGTCGGGTCTGCGATCGGTATTCTGGAATTCATTATTGCCGGTCGGATTATCATGTCGAATAATCGCAGAGGCGTGGTAAGGCGATCGCTCCTTGTTTGCGAACTGGAATTTGTCTTGATTTGACGCAGGACTCATTTTCTTCCGTTGATAGGGATCGTAGTTCTGCTGATTCACGATCTGCTGATTTCGATGAATATAGTCTTCGAGTCTGCTCGGTAGGTCTTGATACTTTGCTTTCTTCCACAGATAGGGATCATAGTTGTGCAGATTCAAGGTCTGCTGATTATTTATGTGAGAATAGTCCTCGACTCCGCTCGGTAGGTCGTTTTCGGTCGCGTCGGGATAATTCGGCGCGGAAATCCTGCGGAATCCGAGTGCGGAATAATCGATGATCCTGGCGCCGCTGTCAGGATCCACCAAGCCGTCTCTGGTCACGTCTTCCGCGGAGGATTGCAAGCTGATCATCGCGTACGCGTTGCGAATCATCTCGTCGTCGTCGACCTGATAGCTACCGCGATTCACTTCGAGGTATCGCTTAGTGGACGAACAATCGACCTTGTTCCACCAGTCGCAGGTCAATAACTTTTGACTGAAAATCGAGCCGATCGGGCACAGGAATGAGGACACTAACACGTCGTGGCACACATGGAAGATTTGACAGCCGGCCGCTTCGTCGGCGTAGTAGCCTGTTGAGCAATCGAAAACGGGTTTTTTTTATGATCACGCTCGCGCGTGCAGATCTCCTAACGTATAATCATAATATAATCTCTTTAAAGCGCCGGAATAAAAGAACGAGTAAAAGTTAGCATTAAGAAATTTAATATTAGCTTTGTTCTGAAAAATAAAAATAATGAAACTGATATTTTTAACGGAAACTTAGAATCGATTTCTTCAATAATAGTTAATAAGCAATTGTTACATATTCTCAACATTCAAAGTAATTTGAGAATGACGAATATTAGTTAGGTAATTGTGATTGGAGTAACGAAATGAACATTCGTGAGAATTAGAAATTTGTTATGTATCATCATAATGCATAGATTTCGCAGCCCTTATATAATAAATGCAGTCTCGTCGGTGTGCGGTGTTCTTTTTGTGCACTCTATCTTTCTCCCAGCGCATTATCTAATATTTGTGGTCAGCATAGACACGGCACTGAGCACTAATGGCATAATAGCACGAAAAATTAAACGGAGTCAAATGTTCATTGCGTGTCATTAGCGACAATGACAATCGGGATAATGACAAGTTTTTTGAGGCGTCTGCCCTGGTTCATTGAGAAATTGGTAATAGCGAACGCGAGTGCTAAGTGAGTTTTATTGTAGAAAACGAAATCTGTCGAAAACGATCTGTCTTAAGCGAAATAATTATTGTGTGAAGAAAATTACATCCGTGATTTGACGGCTATTTCATGAATTCCTTAATTCCGCATTACGACATCTTATTTATGATCCGGCACCACGTTTCTGCGGTTGTGACTTAATGTCACAAAGCTTACAAATTAATAGATGATAAGGTCGCGCGTGCAGAGTGAGATGCTGTTCTCGTCACTTTCGCACGTGACCCAAACGAACGGTGCCGGTATTTATATGTCAAAACGCGTAATGCTCATCGCGAAGGCATCAGAGAAGTCGGCTGTGTGATTTATTCATATATATTTACCACGTGAGCGTCCTTCGCACGTGAATCCCGTTTGAGTTAATGTTACGTAGGCGGGATAGTCGACGCCTGGCTCGCCCGGCACATTTTTTCTGATGTCAGATAGATCTGAAAGGTACAAGCAAATTCATTGCCTTACAACGAATCAAGTATTACGTCCAGAGACTATTTTTAATTCGATAAGAGTCATCTAGAAAGTTGACTGAATGATTATTCATCTTTTTTTGCGACTTGCAATCACGAAAGGATTCGCATCGCTTGCATAACTTTGATGAATTTTGATTCTTCTGTCATATTTTTTTGCTTTTCGGCAATTATCAAATTTATAACGCCATCTTTAGAGTTTACATATAAATGTCTTTAATTTAGAATCGTCATATTTATAATTAAACGATAATAAAATTGGTAATTAGTACCATTTATTTAGCGGATAGCGTTTAATGCGTAATTATCATTAATTATGAAGAGAAAAAAGTAAAAAATCTGTCGTTAAGCACATATATCGAGTTTTATTGATCGTCAATTATTGATCAAGGTTCTAGAAAATGGGACGCGATCTATGATATTTAAGAGTTTGTATTTACGCTTACAGATAGCGTCTTGCAACTTGCTGCATTCTCATGTAACCGGTAGAGATTTGATATGACCTATTCGCGGGTTGTTGTTTTTTATATAAACATTTATATATACATATCGTAGCACCTTTCACGCGAATGATAATTCAGTCGATTCATTGGGCAACGTTACTTGTAATTAGTTTCTTTAGTTTCTTTAGTAAATTATTGTTTAAATGCACTCCGCGTGCATTTAATTATGTATTGGCGATAATACTTAACGAAACATTTTCCTTCTGGCTAACGAGGATAGTTTTTATGTGGTAATGAATAATAAATTGAAGTGTAAAATTACAATTTTGATAAAAAGTTATCGCTTATATTATTAAGAAATTATATTTGCATTTAAGAATTATAATTGTCAACGCGCTGACATTAATTCTCCTTTCATCGTTACGCGTGGGATTAATTGAAAAATAACTACGCTTTAGAAATACGCATGTCGTGAGGGGATAATAATTACGAAATACATAAATGAGTAATGCAGTGTCCATTTTAGTCGAAACTATGAAACTCGTGCCTATTTAACGATAGCGACAAAGACAAATGTTCACAAAGTAAAAATTAAATGGACACGAATCGATATAAAAAAATTTCAAGTGGCAATTTCAAAAGATTACAACGTTGCAAGACTCAAGGATATTTGAAAGAAATATTGAAGGATTGAAAAATGGAAAAATTAATGATGCGTAAAGTTCAGGGATAAAACTCATCCGCGAGAGTGATAAATAGCTTTCATCGATACTTACCTGTCGCATGATTATACGGATCGTAATAGCCACCCGCGGATCCATAGCTGTCGAACGCACCGTCCTCGCTCGGATCGAAAAGCTTCCTGTAAAAACGTGCCGTTTAATTGACTCGCATCCTTAAGCGCGCGGAAGATGCCGTTTAATGAGAGTCGAGAACGTACCTTCCTCTAGTTCCGTCGATTGCTCTGCGTGACAGGAAGCTCCTCTTCGGAATTTCATGTTCAAGACTCCGCTGAACGTTGCACAAGAGCGCCGTCACGAGACCTGTGCACGTGGGAGAATGCCCTTAGATCATTCGCGGCAGAGTGCATGTGAATGGATATTATAAATTGCGCGATAAGCATTGAGATATCGAGAGGATCTTACGATTTGTTCAAAATATTGTGATCAAAATTTTAAAATTATTTAAAATATTTAATTACAATTCTCCTACATTTATTAAGCGATTAATTAATCCAGAAATTTTATGCAATCAGATTTTTTCAGTTGAGACTATTGCATTATTTTTAAGAAAGGAGAGAGCTGAAGAAACGAATTACAAGTGAATTAATAAAAATTATAGTATTACTCAATACAATTCATTGCATTCACTAATGAGTTGATAAATGAAAGGTCTTAATTAAAATGTTTTACGGATTTCACTTTAATAACGAGCCTGCGAATTCTAATTACTCGATTCGTAATTCTCAAGAAGCGCATGGTTTCATCGATTTTGATTTCGCAATGAGCGCGGCGTGAAAGGTCGCGCGAGACAGATCATCTCCACCATTGTGCTTTTGAAGCCGCGCTGAAGTTGCGTTTTACAATCGATTAGGCAAGGTAGCTCTTGATCTGCAATTGACCATGAACGATCATCACCGTCACGATTTGGCGATTCATCCCCAAGAACTCGAATTTTTCATAAGAATAACACAGTGGATCTTAAGAAACATAAAGTTTCTCTGCTCTATACAGCGAAGATAGAATTCTCCTATCTCTCTCCTATCTCTCATAACTCGTGTTTGCCCTTAAGATGACCGATGCTGCGGCGCGCATCCTATGGCATTATCGCAGCTGTGAGTTTTCGAGTTTCTCGCGAGAACGCTTTTCCCTGAAAAGACGACGCAATAAGTGCGTTCGATGACATTTCAATATGCGCAGCTTGAGATAATTGTTGTTACCTTATGTAACACTATTACAAAATTATATAATATTCAACATTACACAATATAAAAAAAAACATGATAATACGATCGAGAGATCTTACTGCTTCGTTCGGACAACGACAGTGACATCCCGACTGCAACACGCGACTTTATCCTCGCTATTCAGTCGCTGTCTCTCTTGTATAAAAATCTATTGAAAGGATTAAGATAGACAAGTGTGACCGATTGAAATTGATTAGAGGATTATCCGCCCAGATTTCAATACTACAAATATGCAATAACATTAAGTACTATTGAAACTTTTTTCTTTAATATCTTTTTTTCTTCTCTTTTTCTTAAATTTATGATTGCATAATATGTATTTTTTTATCAATATTTGTAGTTTGGTTCACATAATCGTAGTCAAGTTGTAATTTATAATACAATAATGCTTCATTACATAGCTGCCACAAGATTGTCGAGGACTTGATGTCCAGGACATTTATTGTTATTCCTCACAATAGTCAGTGAATACGTGAAATCTTGCGAAAGGCCGACAAGTCGACGCTATTCACTCCAGAGTAAGAGTTCTTAAACACACGTGTTTTCTCATTGTGCCTGCCATTTCATCAATTGGCATTAAAAGAACGTAAAGGCCACGGAGAATGAGCGCGCCGAAGACCGGTGGTCGTGATAGAGCGAATTTATTTGGTGTTACAAATCGCTTGATCCTCGGGGAATCGTCCGTGAATTATTTTCCGCCTGACTCATCGCAAAATTAATGATCAGATGAGCCGTGAGATATACGCCGCGAAACGGCGGCGACCTCCGAGAGTTCGCGATTGCCACGATCGCCGGCGAGCCAAGTGTAATTAGCCGTGTAATTTCCGGCAGCGAAAGTGTCCTTACGAAAACGCTCCTTTAATATCTTTGCACCATTGAGATTCAAGACAAATTGAATTTCATGGTACCATTTAAATTACGGAGAGATAGTGCTATCTGCTCCAAGCAGATAGTTAATGATTTTTTGTATATCGGGTGTCCATGAAACACTTGTGATTTGAACTTTGACATAGCATCATAGCTCTATATAATTTTTATCATACTCTTGTAATTTTATTTGTTTGAATATCATAAAGTACTGAAATCAATTATTTAGTAACAAACAAATAATTAAAATATAGTCAAATTAGAGCATAGTTTTAGGTAGAAATATCAAATATAAATCCATATTTTTGTAGGAAATTTGCATAAACTCGAGAATGCGAAATTTTTAATCAAAGATGGGCAGCGAATCCACTGTGACTGACAATATTATTAGTGTCCGTCACCAACTACACGTTTAATAATATTATTAAATTAAAGTGCTGACATATTTCATACGCGAGCAGTAAAAGTGTTCGCGGTAATTGTCCTAAATTACACAGCACGTTCGTAAATTACATGTATATGTGACGGATTGTTGAAATTGACAAAAAACGTAATAATTTGATGCTGTAGAGTGTATCGCGAAATGATCTCATTTATGAGCGGTTTATTACAGTGTCCTTTCCAGCATTTCATAAATGTCATCTCGAGTTTGCGTGAACGGTCCGTCGCCGCAAACGCGGATAAGCGGTCTTCTTAATTATATTATCT